AGGAGAAGGAGGAGAAGAAAGAGAAGGGGAAGGAGAAGGAGGAAAAGGAATAGAAGATATCATCAATGCTAGCTTGCCCTCTTTTTATATACTAGCGACTCCCCCTGTCAGTGTTGATGGGAGTGGTCTTGATAGTTCCTTGATTAGTCTGTTGCTAGTACAAACTATAGAAATGCATCTTTTGTCATTTTTAAATTTTGCATCCCACCTTCAAGCTCAATTTTTTTGTTTTGTTTTCAGAAAGACTTGCAACGATTTGTTGTTTTTCTAATAATATGAAGACCCACTTCTCAAAATACCTTTTAAAATCCCTAGTAACAGAGTAATATTAGTTTGGCCTTATACGAAAGTGCTGAATGTTGAAGGCAGAGCTTGGAGCAGAACACTCTGTTATTCTTCTCCTGCTGAGAGAGTGACATTTCAAGTACAGTTCTGAAAGATCCCGCTTCTCATCAATTCGTTTTGTCTTTGGAGAAAGTGAGCTGTGTAATTTACCTCTTTGCCTGGTGACATACAGCAAGAGGGAACAAAAGCAGGGAAGCAAATGTGCCTTGGGGTTCGAATGAAATAAGACGTGTTTCTCTTTGTACGTGCTGAGGAGGGAGATCTCGTCCAAACTCAAGTGTCAAGCTGCTCTACGCCTTTCTAGAGATAACAAAGGCTGAATTTAGAGAATCCATTCTTGTTTCATACCACCGCTATTATAGTGGCAAAATGAGACAGAGGCTTTCAAAGCAAGGGCACCTGTAGCGCCTCTTTATAAGTTCTTTGGTTATTTGTCACAAAGCAGAAGATTTCGCCTGGTTTCCTGTGTCCTCATGGTTGGATCTACTCTGCAATATTCTCAATTATGAATGTGTTAATATGTCGCTTCCTGCAGCCTAGATTGCAGAGAGACGAGTCAAATAGGAGGTTAATGAAATGAAAGATAAATGAGGCCTACTGCAACATTTTCAAAAGCTTGGGCACTGTACAAGAGTTTATTCAGATGGGGGGGGATAGTTGAATTTTGGGGAAGTTAAATGCTTTTTTAAAATGAAAATGGGTTGATTCAATTGTTTTGGAGATAGAAGGCAGGAGCCAATTTGGAAAATATAGTATTTGCGTATATTTATGGAATATGCCAGACAGTTACCTCTGTGTCCCAGGATAATAGTTGCAGGATCCAATCTGGGTCAGTTCCTGGGACCAGGGGTTTTGTCTTCCAAACTTTCAGACTTGTGACAGAATCCATACTCAGGTAACTTCACTCTCATCAGAATGTGTGCTTTGGGCTATTCTGTGTGTGGTATTTATATGGTTAAGGTGACCAGATTTTCAGATTGGAAAAGAGGGACACCCTTTACAGNACCTGGCTATTCCGGCAGGCCTGGGGCTGTTGACCGCATTGTTGAGGTCCAGCCCCGACCGAAATGAATGTATCTGTGTTGTTTTTAACTTGTCTATTTATTTATTTTATTTATTTTAAATGTGGACCCGGATTGTTGTTGGGGGTGATATGCTGACTCTGTAAACCGCTTAGAGAGGGCTGAAAGCACTATGAAGTGGTATATAAGTCTCACTGCTATTGCTATTATTTTTTATTTTATTTTATTTTATTTCGCCTCTCTGTAAGCCGCCCGGAGTCCTCCGGGATTGGGCGGCCTATAAATAAAATTAAACTTCAAACTTAATACAATTCCATGCTTTCCCCCCACCTCCCTCCCAAACTGTTTTGAAGTTGAGTTCTCTTCTATCTTGCAGGCTTCCTGGTAACTTTCCAACAACGTGTATCATGGGAGAGAGACAAGGCCCACACGCAAAAAGCCTTTGGGCAGTGGGGGGGAGCGGGGGGGGGGATGAGAGAACTGATTAGTCTGGAGTTGCCAGAACAATGCAATTCCATGACTCAGTTTGAGGTTGGCCTCATTAGAATTCCTCTTCTGTTTATCCAAGCTGGTGAAGCGCATTCCACCGGCTTCAGTCGTAAGAGGACTTTGCGCCTCAAGCCCCCGCCGCGCTCCCAGGCTCTCCTCTCTAAATGGCCCTCTTCATTCCTGCCCCCCAACCTACAAAGGCGGATTGGCGTGCAGCATGGCCAAGGGGGGGGGCTTACTTGCCGCGCTGTGTGATCTGCTGCTTGCTGAAAAGGGGAACCCTTTGGAAGGGCTCCTGCAGCTCCGCTGATGTTGTTTGAGTTAAACCTCTTCCTGAAGATTGAGTTCTTTCATACGGGGAGAGGCACAGTGGCATAGGTGCACTTTGGGAAATACCTGCTTTGAGTTTTCCCAATGTTCTCCAAATGCAAAGTATTTTGCACAGTTCTGGATCAATTGTGCTGGCTGGGGGGGGAGGATTATAGGAACTGAAGTCCAATTTTATCGGAATGCATCCGATTAGGGCAGTNAGTCAACCTGTTCTTTAGCTCTTCCCTTCAGCTGGCAACTCTGCGCATGCACACACTGGGAACAGGCTCCAGCTGTTCTTCTGCCTCACTGATGTCTGACTCCAAAGGCAGCTGATCACTGCCAGACAGCCTCGGCCCCGTCTCTGCCTCCGACGCAGAGCCCTCATCAGAGCCTTCCCCAGACTCCAGGACTGGCCCCAACCTCCTCACTGTCCGAGTCTGCTGCCAGCTCTGCTGGTGGGCCGTAAAGTAATAACACTTTTGTTCCTTTTATATGCTAAAACAACGGCCTTGGATACAAATATACACGGGCTGAAATTGATAACATAACAACCAATATATATTTCCCCCCCCCTGCTTGGTTCTACACAGAAATGATGGCTGAAACAACAACAACAACAGCAACAAAACATCCTAATTTTTCTTTCCATGCTCTCCGTTTCTTTCATCTGTAATGCAGAAGGGGTGTGTGTTTTTGTCTGAACTGCACTTACAGATTAGTTTGTTTGTTTGTTTAGCTTTGTTTAAGCAATTACCGATACCATCTTGCTATTTACAAAAGGCCTTGAGGCTCATTTCAAAAGCAAGGTATATATTTTAACACACAGATACACAGACACAATACTCCTTCTGTCCCTTTGAACATTTTTTCTTTTCTCTTCCCTTCACAATATTACTCTGCAGAGCTAATAAGCTATCCCCGAATAATTTAAGGGAAAAGATAAGATACTCCACGGTGAATGCAATAATACTAATTGATTAACTTTTTAAAATATTAATCTGAACAATGTAACTGCTGCTTAGCAATTAATTACAAAAAATTAATTACAAAGGTGATGTGTTACACTCTTCCTGTGCCTTTGCTTACCACTATTTGGAACATTAATAATTTGTGTTATCCCATTAAATTAAAGTTAGATGTGCCAGTAAAAAGTTACAGCTTTCTACAGATTCTACATTTCATGACTAGAGAGAAAGAGATAAAAAGATGTACTCTGCAGATTTTCTTTAAATCACCAACTATATATATTGCTAAGATAGAATCTCTTTGAAACTGGGTTTCTGTTTAATCTACAAATTAGATTCAAAGGAATGAAATATTAGCATTTCTATCAATAAATTTGAATAGAATTAGATTAGTTTGAACTAATGGAAGAATAAAATAGTGACATTCTCACATTAAGCATGATGATTTCATATATTATATTACATATATTCCCTTTATTTTATGAATAGTGGAACTTTTATGAATCGTAATTCAGAAAAATGAGGGCACATATTAATGGAATTATCTTCACTGCCTTCACGAATATTACTTCTGACATAGCTTTTTTCTCCCCCCAGTCGTAAGTCCTGATCTGATTTCTGAATTACCGTTTTTTTTTCTCTCTCTCTCTCAGTTTCAGCTCAAATTCTTAAAAGCAATCTTGATTCCATGGGACAGCAGATACAGCGTTTGGAAAATGACATCAAGAAATTCCCCCAAATACAAGATCCTCGTGATAAATTCGTCGAAAAAATGATCATATCCTTTTGCGTGTTGTTGCTTTTTCCTGGTCAAATATTTGAACTAGGCTCTGCTTACAATGTTTAAGCAACATAACATGAATTAACTTTTGAATGAAAGAACGATCTGTTTGATCAGAAAGTTGTCAGCCCCAGTTGTGATGTATCTTCATGTGAAATTCCAAAGGAATATCTGCTTTTTCCTCATTATTTTAGTTAGACTACTGAATGTAGGAATTGAGTTTTGCCTCGATTCATTCTATGCCCTAATCAAAATCATGATATTTCAGTCATTTTCTCACTAGGGTAGCTGAGTGTGTTTTGGACAGAAGCACAAAGGGCAACTTCATTTGGGTCCTCGTGGAAATTTCAGACAAAGCCTAGAACTTCCTTTGTTGGTTCTGAAATAAGGTAAGAAATCTCAACTTCCTTAAAAATGTTTTAATTTAGGTCGCAAGAAGGGCTAGGGGGGGGGGGAATAAGATTGGGCCTCCTTCAGATGCCGTCAGCCAGACAGTGTCGGCTGGCGGACCCCCGGAGAAGAGCCTTCTCTGTGGCTGCTCCGACTCTCTGGAACCAGGTACCCCCGGAGATCCGGACCATACCCACTCTCATGGCCTTCAGGAAAGCTGTAAAAACTTGGCTGTTCCGGCAGGCCTGGGGCTGTTGACCTTAGTGTTAAGGTCCAGCCCCGATTAGAATGAATGTATGAGGTGTTGCTGTTTTGAAACGATTTCTTTTGTTATGTGTTTCGTTATGTGTCTTTTCTCTTTATTTTTGTAAACCACCCGGAGTCCTTCGGGATTGGGCGGCATATAAATGTGTCTAATAAATAAATAAGACACAAAATGGGCAGATTTGGTGACAGAACCAAATTGTTTAGAATGGGTAGACAAACCGACACTTGAAAAGCACCAGATGGATTTCTCTTAAATGAGAAAAAAGTAAAATAAAATAAAATAAAATGACTGTCAGGCTAAGCACAATGAAACAATTCAGACAAATCTCAGTTCTTGCATCTATTTTCTTTCTTACTTACTTCCACATGTAGTTAACAAAGAGGAGAATGTAAGTGATATTTTTATTGGGCCCAGTAATGACGCCAAAGAGTTGGGAAGTTGTTTTTTTTTTTAGTTCTACCACATTTTTCATTAAGAAAAAGAGAAACCAAAATAAAACAAACACACAGAAAGTTGCAGAGAAACACAAAGCGAACAGGCCCTGAGGTTTGCAGTTTAGAGTCAGTTTGAAGAAGATAATTATAGATTGAATTAATTAATTGCTAGCAGCTATTGCAGGTATCAGATTACCTATCATTCCGGAATAAAAAATAATGACTAGCAGACACAAGCATGCATCTCCAAAAAACATAAAGGGAGCCACACATCTCCCCGTCTTTGGCTATTATCTTTTGTTCTCAGGATTATAGTAGCTGCATCAGTTTTAGCTTGCTCTGCCTTTAAGTTAGGGAGCATCATAGAAAGAAATGGTTCCCCAAGACATTAATTTCTAATTTTATTGATTCTTTGTTGACATCTGGAGCAATTCAGAATAATTTCTATTTAATTCTGCAACTATAATATGCTAGTAAGTTCCAGTTCTTGGCATTGAAACCCAAACATAGTTTACCATAGTATTTGACGGTTTCCCTCTCCCCCGTCTCTCTGCTTTCAGTAATTGAGAAAATTCATCCTTTAATAAGTCTTTTGCTAAAAGATCCTGAGCGATTTAAATCTGATTGTTTAGGAAAACAAAAGCAATTTCAAAAACCTGGCACTGATTTTTCTACTGTGTTTCGTTGCCTGCAGATAATTAAGGCATTTTTTAAAGAAAAAGTCTTGTGCATCTCGTATCCATCCATTATAGATGATTGGATGGTCTTAATTGTGACTGTCCACTTGGTGGCAAATGTGAGCATATTATTTTATATTAATCTTGTGTATCTTTTAAAGGAAAGATAGAGGACCTCAGGGTTATCACCTACTATGAGTGAAAGGATTTAAAGTGACAAGTCTATAAACATCTTCTAGGAAATAAACTCCACTGAACTTGATAGGGTTTGTTGATGAGTATCACCTACATGGCTTCTTGTTTGATTTCCTAAGAAGTTGTTAAACATAACAACTGGGCCTAATCAAAATAGAGATCCTTGTTGCCATAGCAACAAGTCAGCTATCTAGTTCACAAACTAGGAAGAGTCACAACAACGTTCTTCTACTTATTTTCCTCAACAGTTGACCCTAAGAGAGCTTTTTGCTTTTGATACCGAACACATAACTTGCAATTGATACCTTATGTACTATCAGGGGTGGGTTCCAACCGGTTTAACAACCAGTTCGCTGAGGGTGCNAAAAAAAAAACCATCATCACATACAGCATGTCATTTGGTTACAAGTGTTTTAACATTTATCATTCTTATACATTTATTATTTCATTTAATAGGTTATAATATACAGTTTGGGTTGCTTTGTTTACCATCCCTTCCTCCTGTTATAACACCAGAACTTTTTGTAAGATCAGATATTATTAAAAAAAATGGGGAATGGAGAAAAAGCAGAGAAGTTCACAAATTAGGGCCAGATACCATAGCCTAATAAAGATTGTTACTGAGTTGGAAATTGTAGGTCAGAATTAAGTGTTACCTAGCATTCAGGTAAAAATGTTTCCCACCATAAACAAAGTAGAAACACAACTGTCACAATTTTCTTTTGGTATGAGGCTAACACAATAGAATCATGTCTAAGTAGCGTCTCCTGTACTTTAGAAACTGACCAGATCAGCATGTAATATGTAAAGCCAGGACAGTGAAGTGATTTGATATTGCAGGTAGAAGAAATCCACTTCAAATTCACTCAACCTCATCATAAAGCCACTTCTTTGACAAGGATGGAATTGCAGGCATTTTTATTCCCCTCTTCTTTTCCATTGCATTGTCTCCAAATTATCTAGCAAAGGTTTTTTCCAGTTGTTTGAGGTCGTTTAGATTTAGCCTGGCGATGGAGAACTTGATATAACCCTCAGTAGCACATGTGGCTCTCTAAAATTTGAGGGGGAAATTGCTCTCATCTTTCACAGCTCCTATCTGAAGTTGTGTAGGATGCCACCTTGATCACTGTTGGATAACTTTCCAATTACAAGGTCCAAAGTTTATGGCTGATGTGTTTGACAGAGTCTTGTTTTTGTCCAGATGGTTCTATTGAAGCTACTTTATATTGATTTATTTTTCAAGATGAAGATGGGATCATGGGCAAAGGATTTTTTGGGAATTTTGACTTACGGGTGACCTTAAATCAGTGTCGTTACGATCCCGACTACTTTCTCTGTTTCCATCTGTCTTTAAGCGCTTAAGAGAGCTGTGCATACCACATCTCATTTGGTACTAACCTCCTGAATCTGAACAGCTCATAGCTCGCAAATGCAATGTTCATGGAACACTTACACTTGTAATTATCACCTCCATGTATCATCTATTTTAACTGCAATAAAGCAGAAGAAGAAACGTTAGCTGACTCACTGCCTTAATTATGAACTTTGAAAGTCTATCTGTCTGTATTGTACAGAAAAGTAAACAATTGATGAGTCTTACACTTATTTTTCATAGGTTGTACTAGTGTCATAGGATAGCCCCCTTTTTTTGCATTCTTGCCTCATTAAACATGATCTTACAATGTCAGTTAATTTATTTCTGAGATTAAATGTCTTGTTAAATTCTGATGAGGCCTGATGCCTTCCTGGGCAAAAGTGGTTGTGAAATACTCTTGCGTTAAATTTTTGTTCTCTCTTTTCCTGCCCAAGTAAATGAACAGAGCAACCTGAAACCGTTTTCTCCTAGTAAGATTTTTCTGCAAGATAAATTTTTCAGAAGACAAGGACAGGATTAACGTACGATGGCTTTAAATAAGAGTTCTTTATTTTACTTTCCCTACTGCTTCAGGGATTTGATTATTATTATTATTAATCATAGAGAGACATAAAACGGGAATGGTCACCTGTTGTGATGTTCTTCTTTAGCATTTTAAAGATTATTAAATATTTTTTTTTATTTATTTATTAAAAGTGATTAAACTGTGTTTAGGAACGTTGTTCTGATGAATCTCCCAAAGCCAACACTGAATGTGTAGATTCGAGGTATCCAACTTTGGCAAATTTAAGACTTGTGGACATCAACCCCCAACCCCCAAAATTCCCCAGCAAGCCCAAGATTGGATACCCCTGGTATAGATTATAATAATACATAAGGCAAACCAAGGACATAAAAGAATTTTAAGGTAAATAATGCCTCTTGTGGCATGTTCACATTTCTCTCAATGGAATGTGTCTGTGTGTGTGTGTGTGTGTGTGTGTGTGTGTGTGTACGTATGTACATACATACATACATGGAAATCAGTATGCTTCCTCACATATTTGGGCATACCAGGGGTTGTGACACAAAATTACACACACACACACACACACACACACACACACACACACACACACACTCGTAGATTTCGACCCCATGGACAATGTTCCTCCAGGCCCTCCTGTCCTCACATCCTCTGGAGTCCATTTAAGCTCACACCTACTGCTTCAGTGACTCCATCCAGCCACCTCATTCTCTGTCGTCCCCTTCTTCTTTTGCCCTCAATCTCTCCCAGCATGGGTCTCTTCTCCAGTGAGTCCTTCCTCCTCATTAGGTGGCCAAAGTATTTGAGTTTCCTCTTCAGGCCTTCTAAAGAACAGTCAAGGTTGATCTCCTCTAGGACTGACCGGTTGGATCGCCGTGCAGTCCAAGGGACTCGCAGGAGTCTTCTCCAGCACCAGAGTTCAAAGACCTCCATTCTTTGGCGCTCAGCCTTCCTTATGGTCCAACATTCACAGCCATACGTTGCAAATGGGAAAACCATAGCCTTGACTATACGCCCTTTTATTGGCAGGGTGATGTCTCTGCTTTCTAGTATGCTGTCTAGATTTGACATAGCTTTCCTCCCCAGGAGAAAGGGTCTTTTAATTTCTTGACTGCTGTTTTTTTTTTTTTTT